GCACTGGGAGATGGGAGGGCTCAACAGAGAAACAAGGGATACCACTGGCACTTCTGCCCACATAGTGAGGCTTCCCTTGGCCCTTGCTCCAACAACTCAGTGTCCCCTGTAAGTCCCTGGTGTCCCCTACACAGCTGAACAGGTTCTGGTGCTCAGAGCGAGCAGGTCCGTCACCACAAAAGTCTGCTCATAGATGCTGCCCCGTCTCACTCTGCCACTGGAGCCTGGACAGCCCCGCGGCCTCGCCCTGTCCTCCGTCTGCCGTTGCAGGGTGATTTCTTAGATTTCTCCCTAGTTGTGTGGCTTGTTCCTCTAGATCCCAGGCGACTTTTTCTTGCCCCTCGTTTCCTCTACAACTTTGATTTGGTCGCCAGAGGGATGAACAGAGCCTCTATCATCTGCGCCATTTTTTTCCGGTCAGTTATTATTATTTTTAAATTTTATTTATTTAGTTTTATGGTGACATTGGTTAATGAAATCCAATGAGCTTCCGCTGTACACTTGAACAGTAAGGCATATATGTATTTACACTGCGTGTTCACCTCCCGTGGTTAGATTTCTTTCTGTCCTCACATATTTGACCCCCTTTGAAAATCCTTTCTAGTTCACGTTTCTCATCAGTCTGAGACAAAGCAAAATAAACCTAATTTCCATGTTAAGTAGGCTATGGCATCGCTATTGTTTTGTCACGTCTAACATTTACCATCAGGCATATGCCGGTGACTTCTGTTTTACCCCAGTTCCGTATGTAAGACCGCAGAGCACGTGTCTCTTTCTAGATGCACATTGGTTTGCCATTGATTTCCATATAATTAGTATTTTACTACTATAAAATAATTTCCAAGGGAACCAAAGAGGAAATCGTTCTAATATTTCTTCGAAAGAAACTTCCTTTCTTTCTCGCTGTGTGACCTTGTCCTACAAGGCACTTGATCACTTTTAGCCTCAGTTTCCTCTTCTGTCACATGAAGTTAGTAATAGTGTCAATCTCACAGTGTTGCTATG